TACATGGAGTATCCAAACAAATATTGCCTTGAAAATGACGTCAAAAGGGGAAATGGGATTCTTTTTCCAACATTCTATAAAGTTTTGCCCCTGGAAAAGGTTGCATACACCTAGGAAATGTTTAAACTGACTACGGAAATATAATATGCATCCAGATTACTTGTTTAATAATGCCAAAATAGATTTAGAGAGAAAAGAGATGTACAGTTAATATCGATTTGTAGTCAAGGGATGAAAAACCAATCACGTCAAATAATGACGTTGGTCACATTTTTAGCCAAATTGAACTCCAAAAAACAAAATATGCTGGCACAATCAAGCGAGGATCTCTCCCAGTGTATAAATCCATTTGCAATCATATATGCATTGAAAGCCGCTGTTCATGACATTGTAAAGTCATATAAACAAAAATGATTAATTTACTTACTCAGCTCTTGGGAATCTCATTAAAATAAGTGTACGAGGTAGTAGAAACGGATCTTGAAAAATAATGATGTTGTCGGACGTCGTGAAACTAAACGGCGACGGCGCCGGGTGATCATATAATGGCGTTTTTATTTTATAATAATTTGGTAAATAATGAACGTATCAAGCTAAAATTTTTAACATATCTTTATTTTTTGTTGTTTTATATTCCTTATAAATTCCGAAAGCTAAACAAGGTAGTGCTAATTTTATAGCCCCAGTCCATGAACTTTTTGATAACCTCTCGTATGTTCTTACCAAACGATTTTTACTGTACATGTATAAAAAAACCTGTGAAAGGTGAAATATCAAAATTTCCTATTCATTCAAACTAATGCAAAATTAAACTAGTAGCAATCAGTCAAAGTTCTGTGGAATTTCTTAAGTGGAGAAGATTTTAGGAAAAAAACTCTAACCTTCAATAAGAGAGGATCTTTTTAACATTCTTATTTCATTAATATGATGCATCTAAAGTACATTCTTGTTATGCCCCTCTGGCTTTCATACACATCAACTGAATGTAATCAAATGAAAAAAATTGTATCCTCTGTAACGTTTAGGAAAAGACACTGATAAGTTTGATGTTAATAGCTAGAGAAGTAAAATGTTGTATACGAATAAAAAAAATGGCAGCTGTTTTACAGCGGCATGTAATTTTCTTTTGTTATGAAACCACTCAATGGAAGCATATTGGTTAATAAACATCTACTGACAAATAAATGTATACTTGTAAAAATGACCCTGGAAGTCAGCAGGTCAGAAGGACGCAATAATTGCGTTATTAAAATCCCCACTAATTTGTCCAGAAAACCCTAAACTTACTTTTAAAGATTTAATCAATAAAAGTTTTTTTTTTCTATTAAACAAATATTTACTGCAAAGGTAATACGACGCAGTCCTGTATACTGAGCACTCGGCCATAAAACATTGAAAAAAATCAGATGTTTACAAAAATTGACAGGAGACCATAAATACAGTAAAATTGTCAAATCCGGATCTTCTGTTAGTTCTGTACTCATTCCCGAACTTGCCAATTACAATGTAAACATTTGCCTTTTTTCGATGATTCAATTGACTTAAATGTTGTCAGTTGTTTCCGAATTAGACTTATTTCACTTTACATGAATACCATTCTTCTTCATACAAGAATAAAACAAATACAATTTCAGATGCGCTTATAATTTTTAAAACTTGGAAACATCACCGTCATATCATTTTGCGAAAAAAAGGCGTGCTTGATTTTTTTTCATATGCAATAAGTCCTCAATACTGTATAATTGAAATAGAACATAGAAATACGAGAAATGCAGTCTTTTGGTAAAATCAACAGTCATAGCATAAAAAATTGGAATTTTTAAATGCACGGGAGTTAATCTTAAATATTCAATATAAATAAGAACTAGATGTCAAAATAGTCGCTGTGTTAATAATTATACATCAGATTTATATCGATTTTGTTTGCTTAGTTTACAATCGAAGATCGCTGAAACTCTGTTAAGGTCCACGGCTATGTTATATTTAGGTTTTGATTACATAATTGTAGGTACCAAGGTGAACTTAAAATACATGCAGGTAAGGCCTAACTGATTCTATTTTTGGAATTTGATTTTATGGGGCTTCTTTAAATATAAAAACCAACAGAATCAATAGAGGGTTTCCGTTGTCAATCAATACCTTGATAAGACGGGGAAGTTCTTTTGCAAAACTTTTGTTATTTTGGTTATAATGATTTACAAAGAAACAACTATTACGGATTGTATTTTTATTTGATGAAAAGGAATGCAGTAAGTATTGAAGGGAATTTTTAAAACTGTGCTGTAAGACGTAAACAATTTGAATGGGAATATTACTATCAGTGATATTGCGTCACTGTGCAAAAAAGCTGTGCACCAGATCTGCATAAATGAAAAGTTTAAAGTTTCGGTTCAGCATAAAGGATGCAGAAACCTATATCACTTTCAGCAAGTAAAAAGATGAAAAATTAAAAGAGACCAGGAAGTGAGTTTTTTTCTTAATTATTTAGGAATAGGATGTACAGAAATCCCCCAAAGCTATGGATACTTTAAGTATGTTACATTTAGTAAATACTTGGTTTCGTATTATATTTTTAATATCCATTTTGAAATCATAATAAATCAAACCCACCTCTGATATTTTCGAGGTCCGTGTTGCTCTGCTATTTTTTGTATGGTTTAATAGACTTTTGAGATTGAATGCTGGTCGTTATCTCCTTATATTTCAAAGAAGATATCCATACAAAATAAGATGATCTCTGTATTCAATATGTTATAATGAAAATATATATTAATTTTGATGAAAAAACATTTAAGGACGACTTTCGGTTTGATATGACCACAATCGACAGGAAATTGGGTTGGATGTTTTGGTTAAAGTAAATATTTCGATTTTATATCAATATCTACAGAAATAAACAATTGATAGTTACTTCCTGTAAAACTGAAAGTTATCAAAAAGACAACAAAATAAACCGACAATCGAAAATGAAATACGTTTCAACGTTCTCTGAAACAGGCATTGTTCAGTTCATTGCCAAAATCTGTGGAAATGAACGAATTTTGACTACTTCCTTTTTTGCTGGAAGCCATGTCGTATTTTGGCGATCTCGATAGCTTCGTTGATGGATAACGAAATCTCAGAAAATGTTGAGATATCTAGAAAAATATTTTCCTCCACTATAGAAACTTTAATGTTAAGACCAGCTCCTTTTCCGAGATATCATTTGAAAGATACTGTCATTCTGCAAAATTTTAGTTCTATATGATTAAACTATATGAATATTCTATATGAATATTTCAAAATAAAATGATATCGTAGAGAAAATTTTAAAAATTTTGAAACTCTAGATATGATTTTTTTTCCGGCCGTAGCGAGCATAGACTTTCTAATTATTTTTTTTTACGTTGAACCGGTATGTTGTTCTATCTTTCATAAAAACTTCACTTTCCTGTAATAAATTGTTTTAAAGAAATGTCAACAAATTACATATTTTCTGCCTATTAGATTGCACATTTACTAACAATGCATCTCGGGAATACACGTACCTAAGGCTTGTCTTGATCTTTCCTAAATTGTATATTCCTCAGTCTCACCCATACTGCTCAATACCAGGCCCGAGGAGGATTAAACACCCACCTATACTTTAAATCGATGTATGCCCTAGTGAAAATTCACCAATTTGTATGGGGACATTCACCACCCCTCTTAGATACACAGCTTTTTTCTCAGGCATACAGAATTACACCTGAAATTCCTCTGCAACTAATTGTCTTAGTTTCGCATATATATGAACAACTCTGTTTATGCTAAGAGGCATAATAATACCAACATGATGCACATTTTTTTGCAAGCACTCTGCTTTAAAGCAAAGGTGTCCCAAAATTATTTTCAAAATTTTTTTTCCTAAAAAAAATCACATCAAACAAGTGAATCAAAATATATTGCAAGCAATAGAATAAGTTACGTAGAAATAGTTACATTAGGTAGAATATTTGTACAAAAGCAATCCCTGGTGGCCTATCAAAATGGAAGCGGTGATAGATTAGTGTTGTCATGTAATCAATATTTATAGGATGTTAACGATCGGCGTCATCGTTGACATCTCTCTATCTATCTCCCTCTATCTCCGAAATTCGAAGACGTGTTTGACATATATAACAGCGATGTTAATATGATATTTTTAAAAATAAAATGCGATGACATGCAATGTAAACAACATTTAATTTGCTAAATTCTGAAAGCTTAGATCGAGTTCAGGTTGAAGAATGCAATGTAACAGATTCCATGAATACACTCGAAGATGGAACATCACGTGCTGAGCTGTAATATTTAATAGGTCAATGGAAGTCAAATCAAGATTAACACAGATATAACAATTTTTTTTTTTGTTTTATTGATTTTTACTGAGTACGAGTGCAAGTTTGTAGGCTCTTCTCCTTTAAATATGTCATTATTGCGTTCTATACACAACTACAGTTTTCCTAAGAACCGCCGACAAACATTCCTACATGACTATGTATTCAGACGCTGATAAACGCGTGACCGTGATTATCAATTGTTATTCAAGAAATCTTCAGGCACTATGCATTCGAATTTATTTAATTTACCTTAAAAAGTACATTTTACATTCACATCTTACCATGAATACACGGTTAAGATATGAGGGTATATATAAATGGACAAAAATAGCATTTCATTATATTTTTATTAAACTGTTATTTACGATAATTTTCTGGTCAGTTAAGTCCACCCATTCTTAGTCCAGGGTCTTTGATACGACTTATTTTCATAACAATCTTTCGCTTTCTTTAGTTGTATTAATTTCTGTATGCCTGACTTCTTGAGGGGAATATATATATATATATATATATATATATATATATATATATATATATTTATTTTTGTATATTTTCATATTGAACATATGGCGTATGATAGTTGTTGTTTATTTCCTTTTTTGTCTCATGATTTATGATAACCTGACATAATACTGTAAAATGTTGAATTTCAGAGGAATAATGGCGTGTTCTAAATACCTCTCCACAAAAGAGACAACACACTCTGCTCGTGTTTCACGATTATTAGTGGATCTCTGTACTGATCTCTTCAGAGACATATTGAAGAACAATGTTACAGAAATACAATTCCCATTGGTCCTTCAAAGGGAACAAAGTATCTTAATCCCTATCTTAAACAAAGCACAAAGAGAAAATCTTTTCCCTAGATCAGGAAGTTTCATTGGAACGTATCAGGAATTTGATTTGTCTTTATTGTATATATTACTTCGTAATGTATCAGGAATAAAACCTCACAAGAAGGGATGGTCTAAATCTCCGGATCCTTTAGATAGATCCCTGTCTGCCAACATAGACAGAATTAGAGAAATCAGAAATGCATATTTTGGACATGCAGCTAGGACCTTCATTACCGATGTACAATTCCATAAACTTTGGCAAAACCTTACGATTATTATCAAAGAACTCGAGAAAAGTCTTCCTGGAGGATGTACAACATACTCAGATGCTGCAAATATGATAAAATATGTAACCATGGACCCTGAACAGGAGAAGATGTTCCTTGATATAATCGATCAATGTCATCACACTATAGAGGATCTGAAAGGTATATCACTTAATTGTAAGAAATAAAGAGATAAATCTCCGTTATTGGAATTCGGGTCCAATCCTGTTTACACATTGTCAATAAAATATGTTCAAAATAAACTAACAAAATACATGGTTATTCAGTAAATTTTTTATGATTGTTGTAATTTGGATAATCAAAAAGTGGTTTCTGCAAATTTTATTTCCATGTAAAAGAATAATTCTTATATTTTTATGATGTAATTTGAAACAATATATTTTTAAAGAAAGTCATAAATCTATTGAAACGGACATGACATATTTGCAAGTCCTATTGATATAATATAAATAATGGTGTTATAATGAATAAATGGTAGGGAATTCCGAATAAACTTCTAAAATCTCTTACAGGTAAATAAAGAAATGACTTTTAGCTACATGTATTTGTATAAAGGAAGGTTGTTTTAAATTTAATGCCTTTGTATTTTGTATTTAACAGATACACTGTCTAATACTGAGAGAGAAATCGTTTTCGGTAAGTGAAAAAACCGAATTGAAAGGAAGTGTAAAAAATATTTAATGACGTCAAGAAATCAAGAAATGATATAAGTTCGTTCTACCTAAGATCGTGACTGAATAAGTGTTAGGCTGCTATGTATAGAAAATTCTTACTCTTCACGAAAACTATCTATCAGTGTGGGTTTCTTCATCCCCCCTCCCCCAAAAAGCTTAAATGCCAACAAAATATCAGCATATCAGTGAACATCGTATGATATCCTTTCATGAGTTTGATTTTTTACTAACTTAATTTCAAATGCCAAACAATCTTCTGATATCTTATTTTTTTAATTACACGTATTTAACATAGATAAACATCTAAGTAATATTTTATATTAAAATGCATTTTATGTCTTTATTCTGTAGAAAATACAAATGCTGTTCTGATGGCTCATAGACAAAAAGTGATCATACGAACAACTGGTGTACAGACCACAATCAACAAACTTAGAGAAAGCCATATTGTTATTCTGACAGGTAAAGGAGGTACGGGAAAGACCACAACAGCGTATCAAATCATGTGTGAGATGTCAGACCCTTCATTAGAATCACCATATACGCCGGTGTTGATTAAATATCCAAATCAATGGGATAAAATAATTAACTCTTCTTATCGGTATATTGTTTATTTAGATGATATTTTTGGTTTAACAAATCTTGATACTGGCGCGGTTGAAAAATGGCAATATCTACTTGATATGATATTTTCATGTGCTAAAGTTGGAAATATTAGAGTATTGATTGGACTCAGAAAGAACATATTGGATGAAGTAAGGATATGTTGCGCACATGCCATTCTTCAAGATGAAAATATTGTGGATATATCTTCAGTAGAAAATTTTACAATGAAGGATAAAGCAGATATGCTAGACGCGTATGAGAAGAGTTGCAGTTTTAAAGTCTCAGAGCAATCTGGTGACCTGTTTTCTGACTATACTAAAAAGAACGGGTTCAATGCTTTTTATAAATTCTCAGAATATCAAAAGATGGTTATGCTTAATGCCAATCCGTACTATGGATTCCCGTTAACATGCTTTCAGTTTTTCTCAAGACGAGATTTTTTTCAGCTCGGTCCGTCTTATTTTCATCACCCTGATGAACGTTTGTTCCAAGTAATAGAAGATATGCGACGTTCCAAATGTGGGAAAAGGCTGGAAAAGGTCAAATATTGCGTATTATGCTATGTATTTATTAATGGGATGATTGATACAATTAATATTTCTGAGACTATGTTAAAAAATATCTGTAAAAAATTAATGATCGTTGATACATTTCTAATAGATATCAAAGACGCACTGAATGACTTAAATGGATTGTTTTTGTCACATGTCACAAATCATCGTTATGCATTTTCACATGAAAGTATTCTTGAGACCGTTATGGTTTCATTTGGACAAATAGCCCCTGAAATCGTGATAAAACACTGCAGTAGAAGAAAATTACGTGAACTGATTCGCACACAGAACTATAAACCTAGACTTGGCGAAGTTGTTCTAAAGATTTCAAGACATTATTATGAAGAACTAGCACAGAGACTTTTACGTGGTGATAATGGTGACAGTGAAGAAGTAAAAAATATATCACTGGTAGCTTTTAATATCATTCAATATCCTGGATGTAATGACTCCGAGTTTGTGTCTGTTTTCTGTAATCGTAAAATGTCTGACCGATTATCTTTACTGTTCCATTGCGTTTTTGAAGATGTCATCTTGTATTCATTCTTCAAAAACACAGTTCTGTTGCAGGAGCTTCTAGAACGTTACGGACCTCATCATAATTCTCCAACTTCGCATATGAAAGAACCGAATTTTCAAATATCTGTTCAACAGATTGAAAATGTGCTAAAGGATGTTTTTGTGCATTATGATAAACTAGCATTAAGTATTATATTAACGTATATTTGCCGTTACCGAAATCACCCTTGTGTAACATATGTACCCTGCTTGCGTGGACTGCTTCATATGAAAATACACGGAAGTCTTACTGTTCTTCATCACTGTACTATTCATGGTTGGGCGGATTTGGTAGAAGTCATTCTTCAGATGCACAAACCAACAAAGACAAACCACAATTGGTCAGTTCTACACCTAGCTGCGTATGCTGGAAGACCGCTGTTGTTAAAAAGGTTTATAGATCTTGGAGTGGATATGACAGAGAGAACATCAGAAGGGTTTTCTGTGCTCCAAGCAGCTCTTTTAGGTGTCCGATACGGTAATCAAGATATTAGTTTTCCCTCACACACGGCAAATTATGTTTCATTTTCAAATGAGTTTGCAATAATCAGTTTGTCTTTCCCAGAGAGTAAAGAATTTGAAACCTCTATTAACATGTTACTGACAAAACCTGCAGAGGATATAAGATCTGATCTATCTATGATTGTGGATGAGTTTAAAAACAACATCGTGCACTATCTTGTGATGCATAACTACAGTGATATTCTAGATTGCCTTCTTAAGTATGGCAAGGAATTTCTCTCCCATCGCAATAGCAGTGCTCTTCCCACAGCACTGCATACCGGTGTGTATCTAGGAAGACGTGAGATAGTGGAAAAATTGTGGAAACTGGGATTACATCCTCAGGACAGTGAACTCTCTCTCAAGGAGACTCTTCGTAATGGTGAAAAGTTTTGCAACAAACAGATATTCTATAGCAAATTGAAAAACAAAAAATGCTGGAATGATGGGGACAGAGAGGTGCTTGATGTAAAACTAAAAGCAATAGAGCAAATAAAAATTGCGTTCGGAGATGCTAATGAGTTTCAAGGTGTTCGAGATTTCTTCTTAAAAGAGAAATTATTTTGAAGTAAAGATAAAAGGTGACCTTAAACTGACAATTTATATAAATTATAATATGTGTGAAATGCAATTAAAATTTATAATATACATGATGGCTTCTACATTATTTTGTCAATTTTAGTCAATTTCTCTTTGCAATCTTTAATATACTTTTTCTTTATTCAGAAAGATGGTTAAGTGCAAAAAAGTTATCAAATTCTTTTTTAAATACCTGAAATAAGCTAAAGCTATTAAATGAAATGGTTGTTTCATAGAATAGCATGAAATCAGAGTTTTTAGGTAATTTTTTTTCACATAGTTTGTAACTGCCGAATTTTAGGTGATAACGATCATACTTATCAGTAACCTCCTATAAAATCCATTTGAGCTTTATTTCGTTGCATGTCATATGCTTAAATAAAAAAGCTTCATGTATAGATTGAAAATAACGTTGATGGCTTTTTTTTCCCTCTCTTCTAAGCTATATCTTGCTAATAGTGTGTGTTTAAAGAAGAAAGTGCGGTATGAACAAAAATCAGCCCATTCCCAAAATTTTATTAAATTGTTCTAGAAACATGTCGAGAGTGACGACTTCCTACGTCATTTTAGTTTTTGTTATTATCTCAAACCATTTCTTCAAGAGATCTAGACCTCTTCAAATATATATAGGTAGTTTTCGTAAGAAAATAATGCTATGATGTTATGACGTCGTCAACTTGGCGTTATCGAATTTCAACGTTTTAACGTTTCAACTTTTTAATCCCGATATAGCGCCAAAAAATTTTGAAATAAAAAAAAGTTATAGCTTACTCATCTGTTCCATTTGTGGACTATTCTTAAAATGTGGAGCAAGTTCGCTGAATATAAAAATTAATGTTCTTTACTGGAAATACTGTTGGTCATTGATATTGCTATTTTTTGCGAGAAAACGATTCATCAAGAAAGTCAATGGAACATTTATAGCTTGAATTAGTCTATTATTCCAATTTTTTACTCACAGTGAAATCTTCAAGTTCCGAAGAACAAGATATCTTTCTTTTATTCACTTTGATTTTGTGTGTGTGAGGGAGGGTGTGTGTATGTACAGTATAAGTTTGTAAATAGAAAATTTACACCGGGACATACATCACAGATATACGAATTAACTGCATACGACATTATTTGTGTATTATTACGATGGTTCTAGATGAAGACGGCTATCTTACCTTAATTTTGTTGATAACATGTATATAAATAAATTTAAGACAATTTTCAGTTTCGGCTTTTTTTTCTTTATGAGAAAACACATGTATACAAGAACATTTTTTTACTATACAAAAAAAGAAAATCGAGTTATTCAAATCCCATTGGCGTCGGGAGGAAATTGAAAGTGGGGGGAGGGGATTACATAAAAAATAAATAAAATAAAAAGGAAATTTGCATTGGCCAAACACGAAAATCTTATTTTCTTTGTGAGAGGGGTTGGGGGAGGGGTTAATTTCGAACTCCAGCACCATTTTTTTTTCCAAACACCAACACTTTCCACAATCTTTTAAGCCTGTACTGCAACATGTCTGTGGAAAATTGGGAGGGGCTGAACCCACGCAGCAGTGTCCGATGTCTATACTAAGTCTATCTTTTGGAAAAGGTGGGGCCCGCCCGGTTCCGACGCCTATATGGATCTCTTTAAATCATGCAAAAAAGCATTGTAAATTCCCCCCTCTGAAAAGTTGTGTGGAATCATTTATCCACTTATATAATAGGATTTTCAGCATTACTGAATCACACGTTATGCACATTCTTTAATTGCAGACTAATGTGCTTATAAAATGCAAATATATTTAATCTTGGTATTTTTAATGACTTGCGTTTAATTTTTATTTCAGATCTTTGTTATGCTCCGAAATTCGGAGCGAAGCGAAAAAGACATCTGATTTTAATCAGATTGCACTTGATGGCAAATAAGGGCGTCTTCGCACGAGTGAAAAATTCGCAAGAGGTTAAACATCGATATATCATTAGTGCTTTATTATTAAAATGCGGGATATACATTCTTCCGGGTTATATAACACTTGTAAATAAATCTCTTTTTGTATAATTATGATTGAAACATAACTTCACACGAATAAGCTGTCATTTTAATTTGATTTAATTGAGTATGTTAATTCAAACCAAATTTTTAAGCAATATAAGGGATATCTGAGCTAAAAAAAAAATACGAGATTAGGTTTAGATTAAGATGATATTTGCTATCTACGTTCAAATTAATTTCTTTTTCATGAATTTTAACTTTGATATTCCCAAGTTTCTGTGGGCTAAATTGACGTTAAACTGCATCTGATATTTTTATCCGATCCGGAAATGAATGCATATATACATGTATTATTGTTTTAAATCTCGAATATCTATTAAACCTGATTGATTTATATTATTGTGTAAATTACAGGAATTCAGATCTTTATTTAAAGCTACAAAAAATAGAAAGATCTTTTTAATTTTATATTGTCCGCACGTCATTTATGACTTCAAAACAAGGATTTCTCAGGATTTTATTTATGTAGATGTTCTTTGCGAACACTGCATCTAAATCTACCATATTTTACAGCACTTATTTCAATTATTCATGTAAACTTGTAACTATACCTTTACAAGATGATGATGAAAACTTTTTTAATGGAAACGGGTTTATAATAACTAAGTTAATGAAACGTTTCCTTTTTTATATCAAAGGGAGCAGTGAGTCGGAAATGTGTTACACCTCTTTTCCCAGACACAAAAAATTGATGAAAATTGGGACTTATCAGGAGTGGCAAAATATCAATAAGGGCTGCCACACTAACCATTTTTTGCTTTGCAAGGTACCGATAAATATGACATCCCCCTTTTTTTACAATTATTTCAACGAATCCCTCTCATCCAAAATGCCCCCCCCCCCCCCCCCAAAAAAGAGAGAAAAAAACGTACTTGAATTTTCTTGTTAACTTACGTCGCTTCCTAACTCCGTCGTCTTTTGATGTTTCGGGATCCCTGACAGATAATTAATTACAATCATTTTTTTAGGTAACAATTTTCATTTAAAAGAAAGATACCAGGTGAAATATAGGCCTTTTTTCGTGAATTCATCGTGAAATATAAACATCTCTTAAAATATAGACTGGGGCATTCAAAAGTTTAGCGAGATGGCACAATAAGCATCAAATATAGAGCGTGAAATTAAATATCAACATTTTGGTGTATCGTTTTTTTATAATAATTTTCAATCTGGCTGCGGAAAGGATATATTTTCAAATCTATCTGTATGCCTGTGCCGTATATATGTACGTATACATGTACGTTTATATCAGAATGCAACCATGTATGGCCTCGGAATATTGATACATTTTAACAGATTTTGCAAAGAATTATTTTATTTTATATAGGCTAGTGTTTTGAATGAAAAAAATAAATTATTAGAAAATCAAATGAGATCTATTGTGAGGTCATCTTTGCGTTATTACGTATTTTTTTCACATCTGCTGATGGTAGCTATGAACTCTCTCATTTCCAAAATAAAGTTATGTATACCGTTGGCATAAAAAAGAAGCCAGTTTTCTTCTTCTGTGTTAAATCTGCTCTTTATCCTTATCGGAAATATTTGTCAGATGCAAGTTAGGTCTGGGTTAGGGTTATCAGGGCAATCATTATCTGCCTTATTATCCTTGCATATTTTCCAATTTGTATGCCATTTTTTGACAAATAGACTTACATGGAAAATAAATATATTATCGATGAATAAAGTATTTCTTTATTAACACTTTTTATGAATTATGGTAACATAATTTCACATAAATAAAATTACACCTCACAATGAACTTTCAATTCGCCGCCGGAAATAGTAATATAAAGTCAAAATAAACATACTGCACATTCCTCGAGCAAAATCTTATCCCTGTTTTCATCAGTCTTTCATCAAAATGTTTTGAAATATATGTGTTTTTTTTTTGCTCGAGGAATGTGCAGTATGTCAACTTTAGAAATATATGTTGAAAAAAGTGGAAAAACTAGCAATTTTCGGGGGGAAAAAACGGACCTTTAAACGTGGTGTATACGTCTAAAAATTTTGCTTTGCATACTGTAGATCACTTAATTTTCGCGACACCTTATTTTCGCGAGATAGTCATTGACTCTTTATTAGCGAGACAAAATTTTCACGAATTGTGGACATTGCTTTATATAATCATAAGGAATTCTATTATACGCGAGAATGAAATTTTCGCGACCATATACCGCCTCGCGTAATTATGCGAAAATAAAGTTCTCGCGAATAAAAAGTGATTTACAGTATTCTAAAACTACCAATCCTCTAGTACATTTACAAAGTTTATATAATTCGGCAGACCTGTTTATTAAATTACAGAATAGTGTGCCTTTGTAAAGTAGGTAACGTACTTAATTCTTTATATTAAATGTAATTTCACGAATTCCTAATAAAAAACAAATCATGATGAACTTTATTTTAAGCTGCTAGAACTTAATTTTTATTTTCGTACACGCATTTAAACATTTTTAAACAAATAACAGCATTTACAATGGGTTTAATTCTATTTTTTTAGGGTTTAGGGATTAGAAAATATCATTACTGACAAAAATATTTAAATCCTTTTTTTAGAAAGAGTTTTTTTTTTTTTTTTAATTAAAAAGTGACTAGTGCAGTTCAAAGTTCAAAAACAATTTCATCAATTGTAGGAAACGATTTAAATAGAGTAGAAAATTGGTAACTTTTTAGATTATTGTTTATTGGTCAATTTCTATGATTTTAAATTTTCTAAAACTCCTTTGAGTTTGAATTATTCACATTTTAAGTACACATCTTGACAATATATTTGAAGAGAAATATATATAAAAATTCTTCTGATGTCGACATAAAGCCCGCATTGCACCTCAGGAAAGTTAAATAAGTATTACCATTTGACTTCAAATAACAAAATCAAGTCTCAGGCACTTCAGCCCCCGTGTAAAATATATAGATATCATTAAACAATACAAAAAAACTTCAAAAAATAACAGTCATAAGTAGAAATGTTTTTTTTTTGTGTGATTAAGCGCGCTCCATCCTTTA